ACTTTTTCTTCATCCAAGTCTCAACGGCTGACTGTCAGCATGCTGATTGTATGAGCAGTTCAAACTGCATTCTTTGTTCTGACCACAACACTAAATCCTTACAGGAAATAGCCTTGGAATCAAAATTCTGAGATATAAACTAGAATTCTGAGAAAAAAATCTGAGATATAAACTAGAATTCTGAGAAAAAAATCTGAGATATAAACTAGAATTCTGAGAAAAAAATCTGAGATATAAACTAGAATTCTGAGAAAAAAATCTGAGATATAAACTAGAATTCTGAGAAAAAAATCTGAGATATGAATTCTGAGAAAATGTCAAAATTCTGAGATATAAACTAGAATTCTGAGAAAAAATCTGAGTTATAAACTAGAATTCTGACATAAGACATAAACTCAAAATTAAGAAAAAAAAAGTCAATTATGAGAATTAAACAAGAAAATTCTGGTCAAAATTCTGAGATAGAAACTATAATTCTGAGAATAAAAAATAATAAAAAAAATTCTGAGATATAAAGTAGAATTCTACGAGAGAAAAAAATATCAGAATTCTGAGATATAAACTAATTCTGAGGGGGAAAAAAGTCACAACTAACTTTTTATTTGTTATCTCATGGCAGAATCAATCTTTCAGGCTAAAAAAATAAATAAAAATGTTGGTTTTCTGTGGAAATAAAATCATTTTGGTGCATTACTACTTCTGACACATTTGATATTAAACTTTTTCTTCATCCAAGTCTCAACGGCTGACTGTCAGCATGCTGATTGTATGAGCAGTTCAAACTGCATTCTTTGTTCTGACCACAACACTAAATCCTTACAGGAAATAGCCTTGGAAGCAAATTTGTTTTCAATAACGCCAAACTGACCTGGCGTGATGCTCAACTGCACTGCAGGAAAAACCACGTCGATCTGGCCTCCATTAGTGACGGCTTTGAGAACAGCGCTCTGGTTCAGCTTCTTACACACAACTACTCTCAGTATGAGGCCTGGATCGGCTTGTCCAAGAACCTGTGGCTGTGGTCGGACCAGAGCAAAGTCTCCTGGCTGTCTGTGAAATGGGCCGAAGGAGAGCCGGACAATACAGATGGCAATGAAAAGTGCGGCTTGGTCCGTGAGACTGGATTGATAGGAGACGAAGACTGCTTGCATCACTTACCTTTCTTCTGCGGTGAGTTTTATTTCTGCTTTAATTTTTAAGCATCCAGTCCAGATAAACTGGAGTCAGTGACTGTATAGAAAATAAACAAAAAATCAGCTGAAGTCGCAGTGATTTTCTAGATTTAACTTGAGATAATGCAGATATCCAAGTTGTTATTTAATGCGACTTCACATTTCAAGTTGACTAAACTTAAATTATAAGAACACTTTTTGAAACAACAGTGAATACTGTAGTATTCATAATAAATGCAAGATCACTTCCAGGCCATTTTATTTCATAACACAACAAATTACTATAAAAAGTATGATAATTAATAGTGAGTTTAATTTTGACTTTAATCTTTAAAGAATCCGATCAGATAAACAGGATTTCAATCAATTACTG